AAAGAACGCAATAAAAAAAAAAATATAGCAATAGATCCTTAGTACAATAACCGAATGTTGAAAAATTATTTTTGAAACTTTTAGCTTGAGTTGCTTGGTTTTGGTGTGAGTAATTGCGTGCCTCAGCGTAGTTTTGTCGACGCCAGTGCGTCCAACATGTTAACAGTAAAGCGGCGGGGTAGTGTTTAATCACACCAACTGTACATTTGTAGATTTTGTTAATACACAAATGTGGGTAAAAAATGTTTGCTTACTACGTCATAAGTTGAAGAGGCCGGTACAGTTGCTGTCTACCCCACAGAAAATTTTTTTACGTTCATTGCCAAAATAACAGGCGTCGAGTAAATGGCGTAGCACAATAACAAATCAATTGTGCCCAAACATTGTACAGAGAGCTCAGACCAAATGCTCAAGTACGTAAAGCAAAAACACACTTCATGTTATAGACAGAAATTGGAACAGTGGAAGGGGAAAGAATTTGTTTTTTGACTTTTCTTTTGCATGCACAAGTATGTGTGTGTGTGTATGTGTATATTCTTAACTGTCTTTGATATCGTTACACGTGCCTCATATGGCGTTTTTAGGTGCTTCACTGCGTAGGCACAGCTGTAAGGGACAAGCCTCTTTCATTTTATTTAACATGAGTTACTTTCGTTCGAGCTGTTTAAAATTTTAAATTAATCCTTAAATGTTAATTAAACTCACGCAAAGTGTTTGTTATGTAGCTCATTTGCCGCGACACTTAGCGTACATTAATTAAATATTTCATAAGCGACTTTATACCCCGATTTATAACTATTTTTACTAACCAAAAATGGGCACACGTAGGTAATAACATACATTTATATTATTTTATATATGTATATGCATAAATATATGTAGTAAAAAATATATTTATTGATTTTTGGTCAGTGGTTAGAAGTGTGCAAAAGCGGTTTTTGACCTTAGTCGATTAAATGATAATTTATAGATTTTAAATTCTTTTTTGAAGTTGATTGAACATAAAAAAGATATATTTATTAATAGAAAAACATTATATAAACATTCATATAAATATTATTTGTTAATATATATTTAAATAAATATAACATTATTTATTATTATTAAAATTTTAACGTACCGGCCCAACAGCCGGTGCTACGGCCAGAAGAGTCCTATTGTACTAATTTTACTATTGATTACACAAAGCCCTTTAAAGCTTCGTAAACAAAGTCCAGAACTAAATCAAGCGAAGAGCTCTTAATCTGTTCTGGTGACAGAAATTTGATATGAAACAAGTTTCTTCTGTGCGTTATTAAAGCTGGACAGTCACAAAGAATATGCATAGTAGTTTCTTTATCTTCGCAGTATAATCTGCCGAATATCGTAGCAGATAATTGTAGTTTATGAAGGTGATATTTCAGGCCATAATGACCTGTAATGATACACGTTATCAACCTTAAATAACAGTTTGAGAATTTAAGTATGTTTTTGTAGGAGTACGGTTTTATCAGTACTTTGCTTTGTCTAAGTCCTGGGAAATCTTTCCAGTCTTTCATATGATATGAACATAAAAAATATATTAAATATAATAAATATAAATACCGATATTTTTATATATGTTTATTAAATATATACAGTGTTAGCTATATTACGTGGACCCACCTAGCAATACTGTAAAGCGTATTGATAATGATATGATAGACGTCTTTATAATGTCAGTCTCAGGAAAGCAGTTCGATCTTTGTACCGTTTTCTTTGTACCGTGTTCTGCTAGTTTGGTGCTGTATAACGTTTGTCCGCTGTATCATAACGAGATATTTTTAGTGAAATTTATTGCGGCAAAATCACCATTCCAATCTAACTTAAGCTTAGCCATAGTCAGGAAGCAAAACGGTAGGAAAACATTATTTTTCTAAATAATATTTGATAAAATTTTCCTATACAAAACAAAAAGATAAAAAAAAAAAAAGAAATATTTTACTGTAATAATTAAAAAATTTCTATCTACAATTCTACTAAAAACGTTTATTAAAATTAGAAATTAAGTTTACCCATACTTATGCGGTTCTTCACATTTTTGAGGGTCATCCTTATCCTTTATACTTAACATACTTTTAAGGGACAACAACTGTCCGTATCCATACAACCCTTCACATTTAATGCACCTTTATCAAATTGGTGCACTTTTAAAATTGTACTTGACATATTTTTAAGGGATAAACACGCCATATGGCCCTACATGGTTACGTTATAAGCCCTTTAACATATATTTCACTAAAAAGGTAACGAAAATATATTTTATTTCTTGTATTTTAAATTATAATTAAAAAAATATATAAAATTATATATAAGTTCTCGTGCCTTCTATAAAATTAATAAATATTAAAACAGTTTTTATTGTTTTCCGAAGCTTAAAATTATTTTAATTGATTTTATTTGGTCAATGATTTTAATTTTGTAACAAATTGATTAACATTAATAATAAATTAATACAATTTTTAAATTAATTTATTTTAAAATATTTAAAAATCAGTTTACTTAATTTTTAATAATAATTAAAAGCTTAAAACAAAAGCTTTAAAATAATATTATTTAATCTGTAGGGAACGAAAAATATTTCAATTAAATTCTAACTAAAATATTTCTTACTAGAATTCTTACTAGAATATTTTTAAAAAATTACTCATACGCCACGGTGTACAGGGAAAACGCAGAGCAATTTAAAATAGTTTACAACAAATGTAGAAAGCCAGATTTCATTTTAAATTACATATTTTAATATTTTTCAGTTAGTTTTCCTGAAAAAGTGAGGTGTCGAAATCAACGAATAAAACTCCTAACATATCCGACCCATTATAACAGCAATTTTTCGGCAATTATATTGAACCGCTATCGCATACCTTTTTCCTTTTTAGTAGGTGAAAAGCACTTAAAGCGACTTAAACTTAGTGAAATCACTTTTTGGGAATGATTTGTAAAAATATACCCAGCAATCACACAATGAAGACTCATTAGATTGTGTTCTTATGTATTGATCAGTTAATATTACCTAAAAAAGGGACTTACTTAGACAAAATTTTAACATGATGTAAGCATATAGATACCTAAAAAAATCAAATCAATTTTAAAGTGGTTCAGCTGTATTGGCTATATAACAGCAAAAATTTTTAAATAAGTTAGAGCCATTTTAAAGTTCTATTATATAGAGGCGTTCATCTACAATTTATAAATGCACACTGGCTACTCAGTAGCCAAGTCCCCTTTCACTGAAGACCATAAAATATTATCCTTTAAGCTTAAAGATAAAGTTGTATTAAAACAATTTAGAAATATGTATTTCATCACCATGCGGCCTATATGGTTCTATACGCTACTGTTAAGCTGCGGTTTGCATTATTCATTACCTAACTTGCAACTACTCTACAGAGCTTCTAACGTTCATTTTTTCTAACGATACACAGCTTAACTGAAATAAACAACACATCAAAAAATTGTGTGTATTAAAATAAACATTAGCTAAAGTGCTAACTAACAGCACTAAATCAAAAAGTTGGAAGAAAATTAAGTAATAAAAGTTAATTATATTTTAATATAACCTAAATTTTAAATATAATAAAATAGTTATTAATATTTTAAATAATTTTTAGTATATAGTTTTGATTTCTTTAAGTTGCCATTGGAGCTCATTTCCTTAACTTTATTGGTGCTTCCATTAAAATCAATTGTTTTAATAGAAAATTTATTAGCAAAACGGAAGAGAAAGTAATAGCTCTTCAGTATGTCCTTATTAGCTAATAGCCATAGTGTTAATAGTGCATTATTAATAACATATATAACAATGTATGAGACATTAATATTTAGGTTATACGATATTATACTTGTGGGCGATTTAATTTGCAAACAATTTTCCTTCGAGAATTAGTCTAATATTTCATATAAAGCTGACATATATCAAAAACAAAAATAAATAGTAATTTAATGAGAATTTTTGTTCTTAAATAGAATGCTATGCAGTATAGTCTATACTTAAGATAATAAGGATAATAAAGTAGAAACTTTTGGCACAAGGCTAAAATCAATTAATTGCGTTGAATGGGTGATGTGCCGCGAGGAAAAATGAAATCCTTAATTAAAATGTCAAACGCTCATGAAAAAATCACGAATATCCTTTGCTTCTGTAGGCGTTTACAGGACACATTAAAGTTTGTTAATAGAAATTTAATTAGAAAATGAAAAATTATTTAATTTCTTTACAAAATATTTAATGGCAGTAAATTTGATATGAGCTTTAAGGATATTTTTTTTTGTTTCAGTTAATTATGTTAGTTGAAGGTGCTCAAGGCTTAAGATATATAACTTTCACTATTGTTAAATTTTCGTCAATTGATGTTGAATTTAGCGTTGTGACGCCTTTCTCGAAATATAGACTGGCTATGCTCAGTAATAGAAGCGGCTCAATGACGTTAAATGAGGTTTATTGTTATTATTATTCTGTTAAATACGAATGGCATCCTCAGGGACCTCAAGATTGATCTGACCAAAAAATACATAAAGGATAGTGCCCTGAAATTATTAACGAAAAATGATACCGTTTTATACCGCTTTATCGAATCTCCGAATAGTTATAGGCTTCTTGGGGAGTATGCAGATCTGAGTTCAATTATTGC